GGTAGCTGTGTCTTGTCAGGTTCCTCCGTCTAGTCCGGTCGCTGCGTCGTGCTCCTGTCGGTCGCTTGCCCACCCCACCGTTTTGTGGCACCACCGGTTGGGGCACCCTTCTCCTCCTCGTCTTCGCGCTATGTCTCGTCAGCGTCTTGTCTTAGGTCTCCCGCGTGTCTTGCCGTCGCTGCCGCCGTCCCTTGCACCACCGTGCGGTCCTTGCGTCGAGGGTAGGCTGCGCGCCACCCCTCACTCCTCCTCCCTTCGTCCGGCCACCGAGCCTTTTGAGACGCTGCACTTGGACGTCTGGGGCCCCTCTCCTCGCCCTGGCCCTGAGCGTGAGCGTTTCTTTTTGGTGGTCGTTGACGACTACTCCCGCTACACCACAGTGTTCCCCCTGGCGAGGAAGTCTGAGGTGACTTCTACGCTGATCAGGTGGTTGCTTACCACCCAGGACACTCGTGGTCGTCGTGTCAGCTGTCTCCACTCCGACCGCGGGGGCGAGTTTCGCTCCGGCATTCTCGCTGGATTCTGTCGCGAACAGGGCATTCGTCAGTCCTGGACGCTTCCGGAGTCCCCACAGCAGAATGGGGTTGCTGAGCGTCGCATAGGCCTGGTCATGGAGATTGCCCGCACCTCCTGGACTCACGCCTATGCCCCCCATTTCCTGTGGCCATACGCAGTCAGGTACGCCGCGCACCAGCTGAACCTCTGGCCACGCGTCTCTCGGCCGGAGGCTTCACCGACCAGTCTTTGGACAGGGTCCCCTGGTGTCGCGTCGAGGTTTCGTGTCTGGGGGTGCTTGGCTCTTGTCCGCGACACCTCCGCGGACAAGCTCTCGCCTCGCGCCGTTCCTTGTGTCTTCCTTGGTTTCCCTGAGGACTCCTCTGACTTCACCTTTTACCACCCTCCCTCTCACCGGTTCTTTGACTCCCGTGACGTCCGTTTCGAGGAGTCCACCCCCTACTACGTCAGGTACCCCAGTCGAGGTCTCCCGGTCCCTCCCCCCCCTCTCTTCCTGACCGCCGCTCCCCCGCCTGCTCCCCCGGTACAGCCTCCCCCCCCTGGTCCAGCCCCGTCTGGTGTGTCTCAGGCTAGCCCTCCCCCTTCGGTAGCCCCCCCTGTACAGCCTCCCTCCCCACAGTCTTCCTCGCCGCCTCCTGCAGGTGCTCCCTCTCGGGAGGTTGGTCCTGCGACTGTCCCTGTACAGGTCTCTGGTTCTGGGGGTGCTGGAGTTGGAGCTGAGCCGCGGGTTGCAGAGGACTCTTGTCTTCCGGGGGCTGGTACTGGGTGCGAAGTCTGGGGGTGCTGGTGCGGAGCCTGGGGGTGCTGCGTCTGGGGGTGAGGGTGTCCCTTCGGTTTCTGGAGAGCCTGGGTCTGGAGCTGGTGTTAGTGCTGCCTCTGGGGGTGGTGTGCTTGGTGCTTCGGAGGTCGACTCTGGGGCTGCCGCTGCCCCGGACACTACTCCTTCCCCCCACCCCTATCCGACCAGGTTCCAGGCTCGTGTTCGCCGTGCTCGTGAGGAGCAGCTGGAGTTGGAGAGAGAGGAGAGAGAGTTGCAGCGGCTCGAGGAGCAGGAGCGACAGCAGCAGGAGCAGCAGCAGGAGCAGCAGCAGGGGCAGCAGCCGCTGGAGCAGCAGCAGCCGCAGCAGCCGCAGCAGCAGCAGCAGCAGCTGCTGCCGTCTCCTCCTCCTGTCTCGGGTCTTCGGACCCTTGGTCTCCCCTCTCCCTCTCCTTCCTCCTCCCCCTCTCCTCCTGTCTCTGGTCCTCCGCTTCCTCCTCCTGACCCCTCTCCCGCTGTTTTCCCTCGTTCTCAGTCTTCGTTGTCTCCTCCTCCTTCTCAGACTTGGGCCTCTCGTCGCTCCCCTCGTGCTCGTCCCTCGTCTCCTGTTCCCTTCACTGACCTTCGTACAGCCTTCCTTTGTTCTCGTCCACCTCGTCCGTCTCCGTCTGTGCTTCCGTCTCCTCCTGAGTCGGCCCTCACTGTGTCGCTTCCTTCTCCTGTCACTGACTACTACCGCACGTACCGTCCTGTTCTCTCTCGTGTTCTCGCCTCTCTTGTTACCCACCCTCGTGCCTCTGTGTCCTCTGTGTCCGCTCTTACTGCCGCAGTCACTGAGTTTGCCTCTACCCGCCGCCTTGACTTCGCCACCGCTCTTGTGGCTGCTCCTCCTTCCAGTCCTCTGGCCGTCGGGGGTGTGTCTGCCCTTGGCTGTGACGCCCTAGAGGACAGGCAGTTTGAGCTAGAGTTCCTGGCGGCCGCTTCCCCTCATCTCTGTGCCATGCTCCTCGCCCCTGAGGGTGACCCCGACGCCCTTGACATTCCGACTCCTCGCACTTACGCTGAGGCAGTGTCAGGGCCTTGGGCCTCTCAGTGGAGAGCTGCCATGGACGCAGAGATGGCCTCCTACAGATCCACAGGCACCTACGTCGATGAGGTTCCCCCTCCGGGGGCGAACGTAGTCGACGGCATGTGGATCTACAGGGTGAAGCGGCCATCGGGATCTCCTCCGGTCTTCAAGGCGCGCTACGTGGCTAGAGGTTTCAGTCAGCGCGAGGGAGTTGACTTCTTTCAGACCTTCGCGCCCACCCCGAAGATGACCACTCTTCGGGTGTTACTACACGTAGCAGCACAGAGAGACTACGAGTTACACTCTCTCGACTTCTCTACTGCTTTCCTTCAGGGCAGTCTTCACGAGGAGGTCTGGTTGCGTCGTCCCTCTGCCTTCACTGGCTCTTTCCCTCCTGGGACCCAGTGGAGGCTGAGGCGACCGGTTTACGGTCTTCGTCAGGCTCCTCGTGAGTGGCACGACACCCTGCGTTCTACCCTGTCTGACCTTGGGTTCCAGCCGTCTTCTGCTGACCCGTCGCTGTTCGTTCGTCGTGGCCCCACACCTTTCTTTGTTCTGGTCTACGTTGACGACCTTGTTTTCGCCACCCCTGACAGGGTTGCTTTGGCACACGTGAAGTCCGAACTGCAGAAGAGACACACCTGCACTGATCTTGGTGAGCTGCGCCACTACCTTGGCCTGCAGATCACCAGGGACAGAGCTGCTCGCACCATTACACTTTCACAGTCACACATGGTGCAGCAGGTCCTTCAGCGGTTCGGGCTTCAGCACTCCACAGTACAGCGCACACCTCTTGCTGTTGACCACAGACTCACTGGACCCTTTCCTGACGAGCCGTTCGAGCCTAGTGGTCCCTACGCAGAGCTTGTGGGTTGCCTCATGTACCTGATGACTTGTACTCGCCCGGACCTCGCCTTCCCTCTCAGCGTTCTTGCGCGCTTTGTTGCGCCAGGGAGACACCGTCCTGTTCACTGGACAGCAGCTGTGAGGGTGGCGAAGTACCTAGCGACGACATCAGGCGTGGGGCTAGTTCTTGGAGGGCAGCAGTCTGTCGTACTTACTGGTCACTGTGACTCCTCTTACGCTGACGACGCTGAGACTCACAGGTCTACTCAGGGGTACTGTTTCAGCCTGGGTTCTGGAGCTGTTTCCTGGCGGTCCACGCGCTCCTCTTCGGTCTCGACCTCTACAGCTGAGGCTGAGATCTACGCTGGTGCCATGGCGGCACAGGAGCTGCGTTGGTTGACCTTCTTGCTCACCGACCTTGGTGAGCGGCCGAGCTCTGCACCGACCTTGTTCACTGACAACAAGGCGTCTATTCTCCTTTGTCGAGAGCCACGACTGGAGAGCAGAGTGAAGCACATTCACGTCAGGTACTTTCTTCTGCGAGAGTTGCAGAGGCGTGGACAGGCTCGCTTTGAGTTTGTGGAGTCCGAGGCCAACACTGCAGACATCTTCACCAAGGCGCTTCCGCCTTGTGACCACCAGAGGTGCTGTGTGCAGTTAGGCCTTGTTGACACTGGTTCTCGTGTTGCTTAGACTTGAGTGTACTGTTTACTTTGCTTTCTATATATCTCTGTTACTTCTTGGACTGGCCTTGTGGCCACTGTTGTTTGTGCTCAGACTGTGTGGTGACGTTGTGATCCACCCTGAGCTTCGTTTCTTGGACTGGTCTTGTGACCGTACTCGTTTGGTTCTGCTAGACACCCCTCACTTAGGCTATGGGGGTGTGTCAAATGTTGTAGCCTATAGTGAGGTTTGTCTTAGGGGGTACAAAACTTAGGGTTAGCTATATGTACCCCAACCAACAACAATGCATCATCCATTTCTCATTTTGACAGTCGCTTCGACTCTTCTGCCGCCTCGACTTCATACTCGCTAGAGTCGGCTGCAGCATACAGGAATGCCTATTCATAGAACTTCATATCGTAACACAATATGTGGCAATGTGATCAGGGTTGATACCTCTATGTGGTATCATCCCATTTGAATGAGGCTTCATGCAAACCAGTGAACGTTGATTTTTTCCAGCTATTATATCAGAGGGAGTACCATAAAAAAGTAGTTCCCAATTTACGCACCAATAAAATTATCGCAGCCGGTGGTAGAAAGGATTACGGCAAACCAGCTCCGCAGAACCAGTTGGACAGAAATGGAAGGGAGCAGCACCTTCGTGCGGCGTGGTTGGTTGGTTGGAGCGGCGGCAACAAGGCGACCTTCCTGGTTGGTGCTCGTCTTTGCGGGTCAACCTGCACTGAGCAGAAGGTCCTTCCTCGCATCTCGGAAATGCTGGAAGCGCCCTCCCAATCAACAACCAACAGCAAAAAACTGGACGCTCGAACCGCGCGAGCATGCGCGACTCGAAGCTATCACTCTCCCAGACGGAGTAAACCAGAAAACAGACTTGCGATTTTGAGGCTCCAGGTCCACGGCCATGCAACCAACAAAATCCTTGAGAGAAAAACTGAAACGATGCTGGGTTGATTGTGCGAGACACAATGGACTTGAATATTCCTAGGCGGCCTATTACCCTAATAATAAAAAAAAGTGTGAACATCAATTAAAGACGAAAAACGGAAAATCACATGCTGTTATTACCATGACACCTGATTTCTATTTCTAGTATCCCCAAGTATGATAAGGTTCGTATCATATATTTCATTCGAGTAGCTTTCCCTCTCTGTCCCTCTTTGGTGACCTCCTGCCTTTCGGCCGCGACCCAGATGCTGAATCAACAGAAACAGCTCCACCTGACTGTGTCGCACCGTCTTGGTTATGCTTTTCCGTGCTTCCAACGCCTGGCTGAGTGAATGATCCATGAGAGGTGGTGGTTGGCACGGACTGAGAGAAGGGCATGGATGATAGAAATGGGACGGACTGGTAGATAGGAGGCGATGCGAGGTTTGCGAACAGAAGGGAGGCCAGGTTGGATGATTCTGTTGTCGTGTGCATGTTAGACACTTGCTGCAGCGCTTCGGCGACTTCCTTGTCAAGCTGCTCCTGCTGTTGACTCGAAAACTGCACACCTGGCAGGAGAGCAACTTCTGAGCCTTCCGCTTCCGCACCAGCAACCACCGACGGCCCATCGTGTTGCGTGGGTGTAGACCACCAAGCCGCATCCTGGGTCACATCCACTTGATGGGACACATTTGGAGTCCACGTTATCGCATCGTGGCTCACTTGTTCTGTGACATCGGGATTATCATCAGCCAGCAGAAGCGCTTCCAAGGACGCGATGGTGTGAGCCGATGGCACTCGTGCCACCGGCGCTGGCCCATGAAAACTCCATGTCGGTGGGTTTTCGCTGCTGCCACTTGCAGTGATAGGAACGGGTTGTGGCTGCGCGTTCGCATTTCGTAATACCGTTGAGAAGAGTCCACTGTCAGGAAAGCTCCTCATCATCCGGATATTGTCCTCCCCCCCACTTTTCGCTCCACTGTTTCTCCCGTCGTCTCGCTCGCTGTGCCTGCCGACGATGTCGGAGCTTGCGGTAGTCACCCGCGCCACGACTCTACTACTGCTACCATGCAGTAGATCCGCGTTACTGCATCCCTCGCCATACGCTACAGGAGCCGCAATCATCCCATCACTCTCCTCAGCAGCGGTGACGTCATCCTCCGCGGATTCCGCATCCACACCATCATCGAGGGAGTCCGAAGCAGGCCACGACTTGCACGCGGCGGACGCGAGCTCCTGCGGGGACGACGGCAAAGACATCGACTTGACGTGGTGCGAAGATGAAAGTCCCTTCCTCAGGCCGCCCAGCTTGCTTCGCTTCGCCGCGTCGCCTTGGAACGGGATCGCGTCGCGTTTGTAGAGGCGAATCACCACCCACGTGGACGTCCCCTGCTGCTGCTGTTGCTGCTGCTGCTGCAGTAGCTGCTGCTGCTGTTTCTGTCGCTGTGTTGCTGGGGGGGGTACCCCCGGTCGCCCGGACGCTGCTTTCCTACCGCCCTCAATTGACTTGCCACTGACGCCACCACCATGCGAAGCTTCCTCAACAGTACTACCAATCAGCGAATCCGGGTCGTCACTGGGCTCTACGAGGCGGTACTCGTGCATCACCCACGCCGTCTTCTCCCCCCGCGGCGCCCTGCCTTTGTAAAACACGTGCCCCTTCTTATATCCCACAATGCGGCTCCCCTTGGTATCTTTACCGGACTCGTGCCCATCCTTGCGCGAGGCGTACACGGGGCGGTCTTTCCCCGTGGCCTTCCAGTAGCCGGATGACGTCATCCGGTTGGCGCGCGTGCCCATGAGGTACTTCCTGTCGCGCGACGCGAAGAAGAACCACTCGTCGCTACCGTTAAGCGACACCATCGCCTTTCCTGGAAGCTCCCAGGGCTCGAATCCGTACATGTCAATGTCGCCTATCGCGTTCAGCGGGATGGGCTGGTTGGCGATTCTGCGGGGAAGGTAAAAGGAGAGGAGCTCTTCATCAGTGGGATGGAACCTGAATCCCGGGGGAAGCGAGCTCTCGCTGTCTTCATTCGTAGGCGCGGCGGTGAAGGACATTCCGACCTCAAGGCTCGTAAGAACGAGCAAGTATTCTGTGTCTGATTTTGCTGCTTTCTGCTCAGCAGATTCAAGGAACGCCTGGGGGAGATCGAGGCTTGTGTTTCAGCCTGTACTGTTGAACTACGAAATTCGATGCTTGGGCTATTTGAAGGATCTCGAAAATTTCGAGCCGCGCATTCCCGATGGCACGAGCCGCGCGATGGGGCAAACGCGTTTTCCAACGCGGTTGTACAGTTCCCTCATGCCGCGTAGATAGATTCGGGTAACACTGTCACCGTCAGATATCTTGCTCTGCCACCGAATTACTGTACAACAGGTCACGCGGTTGTCACACGACCACACAATGAAGGCACTTTCGCCAACCTTCGTTACGCTTCGTTATAAACTGTAACTAAGTCACATTATGTACACACAGGTTCAAGACGCGAGCAAGGCGGGGAGAATTATATTTGTACTACCATCCTTCACATTTGTTCAATTTCAAAGGCATGTAGTGCAGGGAAGTGCTATTAACGAGGATAGTTGTCGCTGGGCAAGCGTCTGTTGGGAAGGCAGCTGTTCCTGGCCGCTGAACAAGCATCTGATAGGAAGGCGGCTGTTGTTGCTGAACGACATCTGATAGGAAGGTATTGCGGTAGGTAAATCAGTCACTCTGTCCGCGTTACTGTCAGGCCGCTTTCTTGTCCACAACATTGTACACTTCCTGGCCACTCGAAAAGATTATACTCGAAACACAGTGATACAAAAGAAGTCAGTCAGTACGACAATGGAGCGCAGCAGTCCCACCCACCACCTCCACCACGAACCAGTTCCAGTTCAAATGCACCTATCATATTCTGCGCCAGCTTTGCTCCCGTGAATTGCGCTCCGATCTCGCAGCCATGCTGTACGAAATATATCATTGCTAAGGCCTGCGGCTTCTGTTCAAGCCTGCGCCAATGCGTTCCTCCCAATGCCTAGAGCTCTTTCTTCAAATGTCGGACTTTGGTCAAACCTACTATAGCTCTCCTTCGACATTTTACATATTCATGTAATGCTACATCCTTTATCGCGTTCTTACATCGGCCTGGTTATTTCGTTTTCCAAACGAACTCAGAATTAGTCCTTCGTGCACACGTCAGCTCCATCGATGTCATCTTCATCATGGCATCGCGGCCATCAGAACCTTCTGCGAAGGCCGCTGCACGCGCGATCCACGACTCCCACGTCGTTATCGGCGTTCAGCTATGCGACCGCGCAGATAAAGCCGTGGCACATCCTGTGCGTGCTGGGCCTCGCGACGCAGCTCTACATCTTTCGCCAGTACGAGCTCGGTTGCAAGTGCCGCCACGAAGCCGCGTACGCGTTACAGTACGGTTCCGGCGCCGCCGCTGGTGCGCAGCAGGGCTCGTACGGTTCTGCCGTGACATCTCGGCAGGGGGTCAATGACGCGAACGGATGGCAGGGCGATGGTAGAGGAGGGGAGATTCCTCGCCGGGAGCAGCTGGAGACCTCTTGGCAACGCGGGCAGGAACCAAATTTCCAACAGAACTACCAACAGCAACAACAACTGCAGAATCAGCAATGGGCGCATCAGCAGCAAGAGGGCTCAGTAGAGCAACGCCAATCTTTTCAACAGCAGCAACAGCACCAGCAGCAACAGGGGGCAGGCGGAGCGGAAGCAGCATCAGCAAGAGCAGGCTGGACACCTGGCCAATCAAGGCGATGCACGTCAGCAGCAGCAGGACGAGCACAAGCCATCTCAAATGGATCCCCAGCCACGCAGTTTCAACGGGTATGTGCAGAAAACACCCTGAAATCTAATAAACAAAGACCTTCTCCAGGCAATGCCACTTGTTGGAGAATGGTGGCCTTGATACGGTCTAGCCCTGGTTTGTTTCCTCCTCCCTTTGTGTTTCCGTCACTGGTTGCCCCGGCCCATCTGCCCTTTTGACTCCAGCTGTCCATTGTATTCAACTGCCCGTTGAATCAGATCAGCTGCCCGTTGAATCAGATCAGCTGCCCGTTGAATCAGATCAGCTGCCCGTTGACTCAGCTGCCCGTTGACTTGACTCCAGCTGTCCGTCCATTGACTCGCCTCAAGGGTTCTGTCTCACCCCATTGAGGCGAGTCAAGGTGGTCTCCAGTCACCCCAACCCCCATGGGAGTTTCACTCACTCCTCCCGTCCCCAGCCCCCCCTTGTGTGGCTCTTTCCGGAACCTCGTTCACAACTCCCTCCCTCCCTTGCTGTGAGCTGCCGAGACACAGCGGTTGGAGGCACGGAGATGGGGATTCCGGATCTTGGCCAGCTTTCTTTGATAATCCATGCTGGTCTTTGCCGCCCCTTGCCTCATCACGCGTGTCTTGCTACGCTACAGCATATTCGTCACACTTCTCCATCGCTGCCCCCATCCATACCCCCATCCATACCCCCATCCATACCCCCATCCATACCCCCATCCATACCCCCATCCTTACCCCCATCCTTACCCCCATCCATACCCCCATCCTTACCCCCATCCATACCCCCATCCATACCCCCATCCTTACCCCCATCCATACCCCCATCCTTACCCCCATCCTTACCCCCATCCTTACCCCCATCCTTACCCGCCTCCCTCTTTGCTCACACCCACTTCATGCCATTACCCTGCTTCCAAGCGGCACCTGCGGGCCCTGCTTGTAAAATTTAGCTAATCTGCTCTAAGTCGAGTTTTAAGACGTCGCAACAAGGCGTATTGCATGGCGGCACATCGTCTGCATGCATGCACGAGCCATGCAAACCGGATAAGTGGTCGCGGATGGCAAGAAAAATCTCAGTGAAGTCAGTGATGAGTCTCCCGTGGCAGATACCACACCTTTTGCTGCCAAAGAGATGAGTCTGTCTGAGGCTGCACACCTGCCACCTGGTTCAGCTCAGCTTATGCCTCGAGAATTTCACGTGGATGAGTTCGCTTCACATGCCCTTATTGCATGCAAGCAACGTGTGAAGTGTATCTTTGAGACGTCTCAAAAAAACCTCGTTCAGCTTATTCTTCGAGACTTCCACCTAAATGAGTTGGCTTCACATGCCCGCTTTGCATGCGACACCCCACTCATCCTTCCCTCCTGCCCATCTCTCTCCATCGCCCATCCTTCTTTACTGCCCGTCGTCCCGACTACCCACGCCCTACTGGTGAAGCTGCATCTGTTGCGTCAGGACACGTGCAAGCTGGCTGGCTGGCGATGTGTGCTTCACATTCCTTCCTTGCAACTCCTTCAACACAAAACCCATGGCCCCTTCGTTTCCTTCATTCCTTCGTTACGTAACCACTCTCCCTTGCCGCAAAAGCGAGTCCCAGCCATACCAGTTGCGCCAAAACAGCTGTGCTAGCTGGGGAGGCGTGGCGTCCTTGGATGGTAACCAATCACTCAACGTCCCAATATGAGAGAGCACATTTGCTCAACGTCCAATCCCTCGTGGCAAGATGGAAGAGTCACATTTGCGCCAGCCAGGCGCGGCATAACCCGTGCAAGCTAGAGGGCTGAGCTCGACTCGACGTGCCTTCCCTGCAATGCCCTAAACCCGTTTCCACCTTCCCCACTGCTCACTCACTCACTCACTCCCTGGCAGGGTGGACGACAGTCTCCGCTGCATCTGGTGCGGCACGGCATGTGCAAGCTGGAGCAGCGGTGAGGGCTGGCAATGAATCACTCACCATTCTATCTCATCATTCTCCCTCCCTGCCCATGTCCTTCTGACAGAGTGGACGAGTCCCAGCTGCATCTGGTGCAGCTCGACACGTTCAAGCTAGAGAAGCGGTTCAGGATGGTAAAGAGCCGCTCAGCATATCAAAACAAGAGATTAATTTCCTTGCTGAAATCGAAATCCTCCTGGCAGGGTGGACGAGTCACAGCTGCACCTGGTGCAGCACGAGACATGCAAGCTGGAGAAGGTGGGGGGGCGAGGAGGGGACGACTACGGTGCGTGGAGCCTCTGCACCAATCACGTGCGGCCAGGTGGCGTCGTGTACTCGTTTGGCATCGGTGCTGACGTGTCGTTTGACAACGGCATGGTCAACCGCGGCCATAAGGTGTGTGCTTTTCCTCGTTTGTCTCTTATCTGTTGTGTTTCATGGAACGTAAAATGGGGGGAGTGTGGGGCGTAAGGTGCATGCTGTTTCGTGGAATGTGGAATGGGGGGAGCATGGGGCCGTAAGGTATGTGCTTGCCATGGCCTGTACTGCACATACATTGTAGCCGAGTCGAGGTTTATCTCCTGCTTTTTATTGCCAAGGTTTATCTCCTGCTTTTTATTGCCGAGGTTGTTTGAACTGACTGCATGCAGTAGGTGGTTGTCATGGCAGAGAGCAGCACTGTGCTGCAGGACTTTCCATCCTGTGAACTGCGGGGATAGAGGGGGAGCTTGTGGCATGATGACGAGTGGCATGATGACGAGTGGCATGATGATGGAGGGCTAGCAAGCATGACATGGCATAGCATGGGACAGTGAGGAAGAATAGGTTTCCCCAAAGAACAAGTCATTGTTCTCAAGCCTGGCCTCTGTTTCACCGCTGGACTGTCTGCTTCCATCCTTGTCATCCAGGCCTGTTTGCCTTTCTTTTCAACTTCCTTCCCAACTTCGCATTTTGCGTTATTGCTGCTGCACACGTCTCCATCTCCCCCTCCCTCAAGCCATTGGTGGCAACAGCAGCTCAGGTCGGGAGCATGTGCATGCATGCAGTAACAGTGGCAGTGCCTGTTGCCCATGCATGCATCACGTGTTCAGGGGCAATAGCCACTGCCTCTGTTACTGCAGCTAATGTCGTCCCTCAGTTAACACCTGCCTAGTTGCTCCCCTCTCCTCTCCTCTCCCTCTCTCGCCCCCTCTCTCCCCCTCACCTCTGTCCTCATCTCTCTCCCTCAGGGAATGTTCAACCAATGTTCTCTTTCTTTCCCTCTCTCTTCTTCAGTAATGGGTTTTGGCCCCACTGTGACCCCTGAGAGCGTGCAAGCCATGTTCAGGCAACGCGACCATCACAGTCCGCACTCCGTTGTCCCATCCCCTTCTCATACTATCCGCCGTTTTCCTCATGCTCTCACCCATCTCTCCTCCAAGGATTCGGATTTGACCCCACAGTCCTGCAGGAGCGCGTATGCAAGGCATGGTGAAGGAGAATCATCATTGCTGAGACGGACAGTGTGATCGAAGCTTATACCGTCCCCTCTTCTTTCTTCCCTCTCCTCCTCTCATCCTCCTCCAATCTCATTCCCAGATATTTCGGATTTGACCCCATAGTCACCCCCGGAGCGCATGCAGGCCATGATCGAAGGGCGACTACCAGAGCACTCCGCCAGTTCTATTGCCATTCTCACACCATGTCTCTCTGTCCCACTTCTCTCCCCCATCTCTCCTCCAGGTGTTCGGATTTGACCCCACAGTTCCCCCCGAGCGCGTGCAAGCCATGTTCAAGGACCACCACAATCGCGACCAGCCGGCCGCCTTCCAGTTCCGTCAGCTCGGCCTGGCCGGCACGGACGGCATCGTCACCTTCTTCCACTCCAAGAACCCGCGTGTGCAGTCCATGACGGCCGTCAAGCCGGAGAAACTTGCCGGCCGGTTCGAGAGCCAGGGTATGCCGGCGCCGGTGCTGCGATTGCCGACGTTTATGTGCGCGAACGGCCACGGATTCGTGGATGTGCTGAAAATGGATGTGGAGGGCGTGGAGTTTGACGTGTGCGACGCGTGGCTTCGCATGCGATCGCCGCTGCCGTTCGGGCAGATTTTGATTGAGTTTCACGATCGCATGGTAACGGATGCGAAGGCGCGCAAGGGCGCGTGCCTGCGCGCGCTACAGCGGAACGGGTTTGTGGAGGTGTACGTGAGCGACAACTTTCAAGAAGCCACGTACGCTCGCATGGCTCCCAAGGGATGAGATTATCTCTAGGTTTCAGGAACCGGTACATATTTGCGTGCGCTTATGCGTGAGGTATTTCCTAACCTCAAATCGAATACGAGACATTAGAAGCCAGCTCAACATTCCGTACAAGGCTGAATGTTGGTGATTCCCAAGGCTGGTGCTTTGATAACACTATACCTAGCTAAGTTTGTTATTGGAGCAAGTATGATAACTATGTAGTGTATGATATTAATTTTCCACTCAATCCAGCAAAGCCCTTTCCTAGTCCTCTACGGTAATCATTTAGTGCCGCGAAAGCAGGTGAATGTTCCTTAGCAGACAGCTGCCGTGCCGTAGATTGTACAATCAGAGTGCAAGAAAGCCACATTAAGAGAACTGTCTCACTCACAAGAATGTACCAAGTCAAGCAAGCAACCCAAACACAATCAGCAATGTACACACACGCACACAAGATACAGTCTCCTCAATTGGACAACCTAGCCAGCGCTACAAAAATGGAGACCAAGTTACCAGGAACACACTTGACGGATCCATCGCCGTCGGCTTGCCATCAAAGTCTCATGTAGCTGGCAAGTCCACAATGCACTTCAATCGAGACCGACTGTGATGGGGATATCCATGTTGCACGTTGCAACCAGGCTCAACGCCCATCCATCAGCATTTACCACCCATTATCTCTCGTTTTTACCAACCAAGTCCTTTCTCCCAGCTCTTGCACTTCAGAATGTGCAGCAAAGAGGCGTGTCAGATCAGATCAGATGATGAGCTGCACGGCCTGCACCATGAGGTAGAGCAGCGCGATAAAGAAGGCCGCCTGGTACAGGTCCTTGTTGGGGTCGCCCTGCTGGATGAACTGCAACGAGGGACGAAGGGGTGGGGGGGGTTGGGTGGGGTGATGGGAGGAGTGGATAAGAAGAGTGGATAAGGGGAAATAGGGATGGATAAGGCAGTCTGGTAGAGGTCCTTGTTGGGGTCGCCCTGCTGGATGAACTGCAGAGAGGATCGGAGGGGTAGGGGGAAGGGGGGTGGTGGGGGGTGGTGGCGGGTGTCAATAGGAAGAACGGATGCAGGGAAAGAGGCACAGATGAGCAAGGTCGCCTGGTAGAGGTCCTTGTTGAGGTCGCCCTGCTGGGTGAAGTGCGGAGTGGGCAACGGGTGCGGATGGTGGTGGGGGCAATAGAAGGGACTAAGATCAGATACGCATGCATGCATGGATGCAGAAACCGACTAGTTCAGCCTCTGTTGGATTCAAAGTCGACCTGCTGCTGGATAAAAAGCAATTGGGGAGGAGCGGTGGTGGGGTGGTGGTGGGGTGGTGGTGGGATGGTGGTGGGGGTGATAGGCGTGGAGAACTTGTAAAAGGCACAGATGAAGGAGACTGCTGGGCTGTGCCTCTTTCCAACAGGGTTCAGGCCCCCGTTGGGATTGGGATCAGCTGCTGCTGTTGCTGAACGAACAGCGGTTGGGATGATGATGGGCGGGGGGATGGTGAACAATGGGGATGACAAAGGGGGCTGGAGAGAGAACTCTGGAATGGCTACAACGATTAGGAGGGCAGCAATGGGGTTACGGCTGGGACAAGGGCGAGGGATGAAGTTAATGGAAATGGCAGAGGTGGTTGGATAGAAGTGTGATGATACGATACGATGATGTGGATGGTGGGATGATGTGAGGATAGCACAAAACAGTAACGCGTGACCGCTGCTGCTCGGTGAATATTTATGTGGATGCATTACAAGTTCCACAATTTGCCCTCATCCCCACCTATGATGGATTTGACGCCAGATTCAGAAAATTTCAAGGGTCAAAACGTGGCGTTTTGACGTTTGACGCGCCAAAGCGTCAAAACGCTTGACTCTCTGGCCAAAATTTTCCAGGCAGCCCGAAATCGAAAAAAACGCCCAATGTGCTATGTAATTGATGGAGAACGAGGCAAACTTGGAAGCTTTTACTTATGAAGTACTTCTTTTTCATGACTGCCCCACACATCCTACAATTCCTGCTCCCCAACCCCCCCACCACCCAACTTCTCTTACTAACCCCCCTGTTCCCAGTTGTTTACCCCTGCCCGGGAGTTTTTTTTGCCTGCCCGCAAGAGCGTCAAACTGGGGGGTACCCCTGGGACAGGGGGCGTCAAGCGCGTCGAAATGCTGAGCGCGTCAAATCCATCATACCTCCCCACTTCCCTCATCCCTCCTCCCCACTTCCCTCATCCCTCCTCCCCACTTCCCTCATCCCTCCTCCCCACTTCCCTCATCCCTCCTCCCCACTTCCCTCATCCCTCCTCCCCACTTCCCTCATCCCACCTCCCCACTTCCCTCATCCCACCTCCCCACTTCCCTCATCCCACCTCCCCACATCCCTCATCCCTCCTCCCCATTTCCTTCACTCACCCCTCCCCCTCACCACTTCCATCATCCTTCCTCCCCAACTCCGCTCATCCCTCCGCCCCTCCTCCTGACTTCCTCACACGGCGAGGGCGAAGGAGGGCTGGACGCGCAACAACTATTTCATCGCCCAGCCCTCCTTCGCCCTCGCCCCATCCCATCCCATTCCACACAACCACACACACGCCCACCGCCACAAGCACGTGCACACACCACCACCACCGCACACACGTTCCCCATCACATACTCGTCTAGGGTCGCCGGACGGGTGCGGATAAATATAGTTCGAGTCGCCGCCCCCGCTCTTGCTCCCCTCTCCCGACTTCTCCGTCACGTCTTTAATCGCCTCGGACGCGGCCCACGCGAGCCGCGACGCCCAGAACGCCAGCTGGATGGGCAGCGCTGAGCTGGCGACGTCCCATTGGTCGCGGTGGCTGATGACCTGGCCGCTGATCTGGTTGAGCGTGAAGGTGGACGTCACGCGCGCGTCCAGTAAGCCGCCCGGGATGACGAGGTATCCGCGCAGCTGCCAGGTGATCACGAGGACGCTCGTTGACTCCATCGCCATTCCCAGCATGTGCTGGGAGGGAGCGCGTGTGAGTAAAAGGAAAGAGGGGGGGGAGGGGGGGGGGGGGAGGGGGAAGGGGCGGGCGAGGAAAGGAGGAGGGGGTGGAGGGGGGTGGAGGGGGGTGGAGGGGGGTGGAGGGAGGCGGGGGTTGGGGGTGGAGGGATGGGGGAGACGATGATGGAAAGGGAAAGGATGAAAGCGAAAAGGGTAACCTGCTTTGAAACCTGCTTTGTCGTTATGAATCGCAATGAACGACCCTTACGTGGGACCCTTGGTGTTACTGGCCTGGTTGTTATTCCCGTGTTTTGAGACGTCCCAAGCAAGGCTAGGTTATTTGCTTCCAAGAACGAGACTTCGTGTCGCACACATCGCGTCCCAAAGCCTAGTGGCGAAATGACTAGGATATTATTGGGCATCATGTCACACGGCAGCGCCACATAAGGCGGAATAAGATTACAGTGGGAGAGGCAAGAAATGAGAAAATGAAGCGCGCCGCTGCCAAGCCTGCCATGCTCACCACAGAGGAGTTCTGAAGGGCGCTGCGGATCCACGAAAGGCGGCGGTATTTGTCGCGACCCGTGAAGGACCGGATTGAGTCCTGCGGGAGCAACGAGGGGAACAGATAGAGAGCGCAGGAACCATGGGAGGGACTTGAGGACTTGTACACGTGATTGGAGAAGCCTCGAACCGTGCCAGGGGAATGGAAATTATCACGCAGGGAGTTGAGCTAAGAGGGTTATAAGACCGGAATAACCGGAGGTCCTAGCCTGGAAACGTTTTAACACACGAGGCTTATCTCATCTGTTCTTGGTGATTGATACGCTCGCCGCGTCCTCGATCATCTCGGCACGCGTTTCCAACGCGCTAGCTGTTCCAGTGGTTTTGAAACACGTCCAGGATTCGCCTTACCGAGTATTTTGAATCGATGGCGAAACACGACAGCGTCCGCTTGTCTTCGCGCATGTCGTGAATGTCTCTCGCCAGCTGTTTCGCCGTTCGCTCAACGGCGGGGCTGCTCACGCACTCAAAGTCGTCGCAGAGCTCCGCGAAAGTCATCCCTCGCACCAACGTCGCCACCTCCTCGTCCTCATCGCTCTCCTCCCCGCTCCCGCCGCCGCCGCCGCCGCTGGCGGAGCCTCCGTCCACTGCGTCTTTCGTCGCCACGTGGCGTCTGGTGATTGGTCTTATCGCCGCTTGACAGATGGTGCGAGGGGGGAGCGGGACGGAAAGCGGGGACGAGGCGTGCCGGTACGACAGCGCGGAAGCTTCGGAGAAAGTAGCTTTGTTGATGTCTGAATGGTGGATGGCGGCTGAGACGCAGAGACGCGGAGGTAAACCCGAAACAGCGCCGAGATTCGGTGACACTAACGAAGGCGCTCGTAACGGGGATAACACTAGGGACGACAATGCGGTCGGAGCGGAAACACGAAGCGTGTCCATGGTCCCCTGTCCTTCAACCACAGCTCCTTGGCATGAGACGAGAAGCTGTCTCAACACACTAACAGCTCGGTTCCCCCTTGTTCAGCATGAGGAGGCAAGTGAGCGACAGCGAAGCATACGTTGTGATGTTGCGGTTGATTATGGTGAGACGAGTTACGATATGGATGCTGGTACGTTCTCACGCGTTACGCTACGGTAATTCTAGCACTCGATATTCTCGTTGTTTCGCGTGGCCAGTGCGACTGGCGATAGTGGGCGAAGCTGCTTGTGTCCCTTCCGAAATGGCGTTCTGCTGCTCGTCGTCCTGCGTCATCGCTCGTTAGAGTCACAGGTCACCGAGCTCTCTGGAACATCCGTGATCCACGTGCTTGTGATTGCATGGCAGCCACAGAGAAACGCTGACTGGACAGCCATGTCTTTGGGATCGAAAGGTTGGGGCCATTTTCAGGTGCGATCCACACTTGCCAGGAAATCTACTCATGTGCGATCCATGTTATTTTGCAAGTACGAACACCCCAGTCAGTTTTTAATTTTACTATATAAAAACTCATTTTAACCGAGATCCGATTCAAAATTGCTTTAACAGTCGGAATCAGAAGATATTTCGAATCACGCCAAGA